TTTTTTTTCATTCAATAGTGATATCTGTCCACACTCGGAGAGCCCAGGTAATATGTTGGATGTGTCCAGTATTTGTAATAAGGCACCATGGCCAGTGCAGTCCGCTAAATTAGATTTGAATTTGACACTTGAACCACGCTTATGAAAGGTCTCTCTCTCTCTCTCTCTCTCTCTCTCTCTCTCTCTCTCTCTGAAATGATTTCCAATTGAACTACCTATGTGGATATTTTTACCCTTGAGAATTGACATAAAAATCTAGATCAAATTTTGATTCAGCGCAGGCCTCTACCACCCAAAAGGCGGTTCCTTTTACCAAGGAGTTATAACTTTTATAACTCCTTCCTTTTACCCCCTCCAAACCTGCAGGAGGTACTCTAGCATTGTAATATATTTATGGTTGTAAACCACAAAAATAAACGCACATAACACTAAAATAGACCAGATCTACGGTATGATAACACAGGTGTCCTTTGTTCGTAGAATGATACATTTAGAACCAGTACATTGCTGGTTAACAAAAGCATTGTACTGGCATTTCCTGACTACGGTGGGTATGTGTTAGTGCACATAATAGCTACGACAACAGTTTCAAATTGGAAAAGAAATTAATACTAGTGAAACTGTTGTGGGGTTACGATGTTTTGGCTACTGCGTGGACCACCGCTGTCAAACTGATGATAACACAGTTTTGCTGTCGTTTACGAGCCGCCGCGTGAAAAAGTCAATTAAGCTGTATCCAACGGTGTTTTTTGCTAATACATGCTGCATTACGGCAATGCCTGGGGAGGCGTGTTTGCACACAGAATGATTTTTAACAAAAATCGCTGATGAATTCTGACACCTTTGCTCACATTTTTCTGAGGAACACTAAAATCATTATTCTGTTCATAAGAAAAGTTTTTTTTTACGTTTGTTTCACGCTATTCCGTTTTAAGTATCGCGTTTGGTTTTGTTATTATTGTTTTGACATTAAACGAATGGATCTCAATAACTGCTTAATAGTAAAAGAGAAAACACAAAAAAAAAATTAAGATTTGAAATCAAACTTATGATACATAAAAAACAATATTACCGTATTCAGGTAATGTCCCTTGAAGTCGGAAATGTAATTGGCAGAGCTCAGAGAATGTCACATTGGAAGGAAGGAAAGCTGAATCTTGACTTATGGACGAATTCCCGCCACTCTCCTCAGCCACTGACAGCGACCGATGTCGGCGCACTGTTTGGAATCTGGCGCTGGCTTCCGATGAAATAAATACAAGCACAAGGCAAAAATGGCCGAGAAGATCCATGCCTCCAAACATACCACCAGTAGTCAAAGAAAAGTTCCCAGATGAAGCAACCGTTGCTGTTTGCTCGTTATTTTCTTTTTTATATGTATATATAAACTAACAGTCTTTTCTACTATTGTGCTGTCTACATATTCTTAAAACTCCCCAACGCCTTGAGTATCTACCGTCTATAGATCACGGTGACAAATGCCACTCTCATTGTTCTGAAGTCTAGCGTGTAACCTGGATCACGCTGAGATAACGATGCACTTCGATCAGTTTTTTTTTCCTTCTATTATTTGTCTCTCTCGTTTTTGTCCACAATGGTCACTATAAGTCAGCGTGTCCAATCTTGTCTCATTCAGTTGTAAGCGTTTACCAGCTTGACCACTTGGGCAAGTAGAATTGTTACGTGCCACGTTTTTTTCCCGACGGTACCAGATTTTGTTATATAAACGGGGAGTTTTCTTGAGCAGTATTTGGTGTCAAACTGAGCCAAGAGAGTCCTCCTCACACCGTTATCATACAGGGAAATGATAACCTATAACTAATTGAAAAGAAAGTAGCATACAGCAGGTTATCCCATCCACTTCAAAGTCAATTTCGATGTCAGAAAAATCGTTCCTCCGGCGCGTTTTCTCGTCTTGCTCTCTTCAGAATTAATCAGAGGGAAGCTAGCGTCTTATAGAAGCAAAGTACTTCAGACGCCGACCTGGTGGCTCTTAAGCACATTTAAGCCTTCAACGATTAACCATCAGTTTTGCGGCGAAACAACTTGCTGCTTGAAGATCGCATGATCACCGTCTCTGCAACAGTTCATTAAAAATACAAGACTGACAGCGCTGTCGAGCTTTAAATAGCCCATAGCATGGCCAGGCAACTTGGAGTAATCAGCGTTTATCGTAGGAAACACCAGATCCAGAAATCAACAAACGAGCCACTAAATAGGAAATCCCTCGTTGAAGGAGGCACAGCGATGTTTATATGTGCAGCCGGTCACTAAACCTGGTCGATGTCCAATGTCTCAGTCAATGTCAAGTGCGTTTGTTTCCAAGAGAATCTTGATGTGCTGTTTGCTAGTGTGCAGAAGTCATGAACTCTCGGGAATGCTGGTATATTATGCTCTCTCTTTGTCCTGTCGATTATCTGGTCTAAATGCGTCCAGCTTACCTGGCGAACACGCCAGTTACCTGTCGCGTTATGCGAAACGCGCTCCCGTATGCCCTCAGCATTGGACGTTTATGCCTCAGCGTGCACCGAGCCGCGGCGGTAATTATTGACGCTCGACGTGCACAATGGCGTTACGTAACGTATAACGGGTTCGTCGAACCATGAAATGATGTATAGGGCCAGAGCGCGACTACCAGAAAGGCCTAGGAAGAGCTTACGGAATATATATGCGTGGTGTAGATTCTCGATATTGACTACGACAATAACAAATAGACATTTAATTTGATAATACGTTCGTGATATGTCGAGTCAATCCCTGCGTCCTTCGGGGAGAGGATTAGAATTAAAGCCGTGATTGTGTTAGGTCGATTTTCTTACGTTAGACTATATGGGTGGGAATATGTCGTTCTATAAAAAAAGTTTCTTTTTGTTAAAAGCTCGTGGTTTTACCTGTAGACATATACCTTTACTGCACTTGACAACAGTTTTTTTCTTATTACCTCGGCTTTTTTATAACCACCTTTACCTTTTAAGATTACACACAATGAAAAGAATTGCTTGATTTTTTTTTTGACAAGCCTTAACATCAGTCAGAGAAGAATTTCATCAGCTGTGTTAAGTTATAAGAATGATGTGATTTTTTCTTCAGGCAACAGCTAATATTGAGATTTACCTCCAATATTTCGATGTCTATCAGGACTTCTTCGGGGAATGAGGGAAATATTGGAGGTAAAACCTATCTCAATATTAGCTGTTGACTGACATCATTCAGCATCAGTCAGTTTTGGTTGCGCAGAAAACTGCTTTTAAGATATCTTTGAATGTATTGGATTCAGTCGAAACGTCAGATCTGACAACATCATATCATTGCACTTAACCATACAAAAGGTAAAGGTGCAGTAGAAAATGCCTATAGGCGTGTCATAGCTACAAGATGGTGTTATAGAGGGGAAAAGTTACCCCCTCACCCCTTTGTCCGTGTACGGTTTAAATACATTCAACGTAAACAAATGTTGATATCTCGATCGTGCGCTTCTATTACCCTCTGATATTAGGTGTCCCTAAAATACCACACAAAATCACACTGATTTTCAACATTTTTGCAACAGACTACAAGCGCACCCTGTGGTCAGAGAGTATCTATTTACCCAGGTCTATAAACGTGAACAAGTCGTATTCTGCGTGTAAGATAATACTTGTTTAGGCAGAACAACATATATTATACGTGCGCTTGGTCGGTTAACAGGCATTCGTGATCACGACCTCGTGAAGAGAGTTCGTTCACCTGTGGTTAAGTGTTCACGTTTGGACAAGTGATTTACTCTAGACTGGACACTGACGGCTTTATTTTATTTTATTTTTTTTCGATATAACAGTGATGTGAAACCTTCGTTAAAATTGGTGACAGTCGGTTTTCAATAAAAAAAAACTCGACTCTGTTTTTTTATAAATAGTTACGTGGGGCAAAAGAGAGTTGGAAAGATATCGAAATATGTGATCATACGCATGATAATGTAGTGACTGTTTGTCTAATAGATTACAAATGCGCAGAACGATTAGGAAAAATAAACGTCCCAATGAATAATTGAATAACTACACATCCATGTTTGGCAGGCTGCACTGACTGTCGCGTATACATAGAAACAGGTAGGCGAACACGTCTCTTCTTAGTTATCCACTTAAAGCAGGTAGTAATCCTCTTACTCCGTAAGAACCTGACATAACCACAATCTACTTACGTGCGTAACATTAATTAAATCACTAACAAATAGGCCGAAGGAGTTCACGTAATGCAGTGAACGTATTGCGATCAGTTACGCGCGGGCGCACCAGTCCTAACCAATACCGATTTACGCAGTTGAGGACCAAAGAACGTCAGTGCAGGGTAGTTTAACGCACCGAGTGTGGCTGCATTGTTAGACAATTCATGAATATTTCAGGGAAACGGGGAAAAAACAATGAACGCCCTTGTCATTACATAAAGGATGTCCTATGTAAGTAGTCAATAAATTCCGGGCGCGGACCGCTTGAGGGGCTGCCAGGGGTATTACTACCCTGGACAGTGAAGAGCAAATAAGAGCACTTAAAGTCATACCTGTCCTGACAACCACACACACACACACACACGCACGCACAAACACACACGTGCACACGCACAAGCACACGTAATCACACACACAGGCAAATACTTACAAAATATTTCCTTCTCTCACTCTCTCTCACTCTCTCTCACACACTCTCTCTCTTTTTCTTTTACCTCTCACTGTTCGTGTGTGATAGAGAATGAGAGAGAGAGAGAGAGAGAGAGACAGAATGAGAGAGAGAGAGAGAGAGAGAGAGAGAGAATGCTCATACTCCTCAAATCGATACTCAAATCAAAGCCCAGGCTGCTGTGCATGCTGACAGAAAATATATCCCTCTTTATCTTTTAGCAGGCAAGAAAAGAAAAATCACATCCATTACTGCTGGAGACTAACTAAAGTAACGCCAGAAGCACCAACGTTGTCTTCTAATCATTGCCTTAATGGCAGGGAGGATGCCTCTAATACAGGTTTTACTCTCCGTACTGATGATCACGGAAATGATTGACAGCCGTCTATGAGCTAACGGTGATGCTGAAAACCAATGATGTGCGTATAGCCTGACTCTCCTTTTGCACTGCCAGAAGAGCGTGGAGAGAGAATAAAACTGTGACTTGAAAAAAGAAACGACTCTTGTGCCCATGTTATCATAACCAAAAAGTTCCAAAAATAAAGGATTTTCCGTATGATAACGCATCAGTTAGTTTATTTACATAAAATTTGCAGTCCTGTTGCTGCATTATTTTGGGGGTTGTTTCCGTCTATAACTACCATTCGATGTCTATTTAACCATTTCAAAACTCGAATTGTGTAAAAGCAAAGAAACTACAATCTAGTTATGTAACAGCGCCGAATTCTACGTTGTTGTGACGTCAATGCCATTCGAGGACTGTAATCGATGTTAACCGCCCCCCCCCTGAAGCCACGCTACCCTGCATCCAACGCAATTAACTTGCCCTCCGAGTTACTCCATAAATCTGGACCTTGTTCGAGATTACAGGCAAATTACGATAATGTCCGACAATGACTTTTTCGATCCCTAATGCTGCGATTTGAGTACCTTTAATTGCCTCGCCGTTATTTCCGATAATGATAGATTGGAGCGGTCAAACCTGCCGGCAGACTGGCCGTACTTCATCCGCGGCTGAAATGTTTGCTTTAATAATGACTTTTTCTGGACATTAAGAGGCTGAAATGTACAGAGGTTAAAGCCAGACACGCCTGGTAGAAAGCTCTTTACACGTGAATGGGCATTCATAAAAACTTCAGTTATTCCAAGACAGCTGTATTTAGTGGGATACCCTCGAAAGAGTTAATGATGATTCCCTATAATGTACATGTTTAATGGCAACAATATCAGAGATAAAGAGAGAGAGAAAAAAAGAGAGAGAGAGAGAGAGAGAGAGAGAGAGAGAGATCGTTGCTCTCTATCACTTTTAAATTAAATAGAAGCACAGAGTTCAGTCATTAGAAATTGAAACAAATCACACTATTACCGGAATAACGGAGCAAAAACATTGCATTTTATAAATGACAAAATTCCAAACGTATTATAAATGTCCCTGTTGGTAACGTTTCCATAGCGACTCGGGACAAAAACGGGTTTCAATACACAATTCTCCCCGCTGTAAGCCATCGTCCTGGAGCTTAGGCTAACGCTCAGTTTCTCAACTTGTATTTCCTGGTCTTTTCAATAAAAAAAAAAAAAAAAAACTGATTCCACCAAGGCAGCTTAATTCTCGTCATTGATAAATAAATAAACTAATCAATGTGATCACCACCAAAACCTAACGATTTTAAATCAGCACGTTTCTGACCTAACCTGTAAACTTTATTCAAATCCGTCCACAATTCTTTGAATTAAAATGTTAACTAACAGACCAACGAAGGCAAAAACATAACCGCCTTGACGAAGGTAATGGCACAATTAAAATTATATAATGTAATAGACTAACAGATCTTGCAAATGTCATGAACATTCTTAACAATGGCTGTGCGTGTTCTAGGGGAATCTTGTTCACACATATGAGATGTATCGATTTTCCCCTTATGACAAATGCGGCATAGAATTCGCAAGATAGGTGGGAAATACTAGCTTTTTAACCGACTCATCGCATTGATTTCCGCTCCAAGAAACTAGAAATATGCCGATTTAAAGCCAAGCACGGTAAGGCAATCATGCTCCAGGGAAAGTTCAGTTAGGGCCATAGGCAACCAAGCAGAAAGATTTACGAGTTTTTATTCCTTGAGAAACGTAGAAACGTTGAAGATGAGATATTCATATTGGATCACACAAAAGGTAGTCAAGCGCAACAATTTTGGCCATTAAAACGTGCATAGAAACTAATTATTTTCGTGATTATTTCTCAAACTTTTCCAACGGCAAACACTGAACTCTATCTGCTTTTATGATACTTGCGTTTTATACTGCCGTTTTATTGGGGTATGGCCGGGAAAACAAGTTTTTTATTAATTTTCTTGAGGAGTTCAAATGTTTGCTGATGCTTACCTTTTTTGACCTGCCATTTTAGAAATAATATTGATTTGAGAACATTCGTTTTTACGAGTAGCAAATGTGGCAGTTTAGCTCACCAGCATGTACTGCATTAAATAATTAGCAGTATTAAGAACGAAATTACTTAGAAGGGGATTCAAAGACGATGAATTACTGCACAAGGTGCAATTTTTCGTTTAGGTCAAAGCATACGTGAAGCTGGGCTAAAGGTTTAGATCAAAATCATCTAAAATAGCCCAAAGTCTCGCGACTTACCGTTGATTCGAGCGATATTTCGGATTCGTACAGAGAGTGGTATTGTAGGTGAGTGGGGTCAGAAATAATGGCAGACTAGTGAGTGTGGTGTGCAATCAAATTCAAGCTAATTAACATAATTTATCAACGGGTATCCGGGTTATTGTCTCGTACTTGGAAGTCTTGTCGAATTGCCTGTATATTGGTTTTTAAGATGACATTCCCGGTGCAG